GCAGATTGCCTGAGTGAATGTCTGGAGGTGTAGGCACCTCGGAGTGATTGTGTTAAGCTAGCACTAAGTCCCTCCCCCATCCACCTTTATTCTTTTCTTTACAATAAAGCTTTCAAATAGGTCATGGTTGTACGGTAGTGAAGCATCGGTGTTGAACACTAGTGTCATGCTGTCGATGATGATGATGATAAGATGAATGACTTGGGACAGTCCCAGAGACTTCCGCTAGTCTTCCGGTTAGTAGGTGCGCACCGTAATCAATGAGTTATCCCGAATTAAGCTATCTAATGATGATGACTTGGGACAGTCCCAGAGACTTCCGCTAGTCTTCCGGTTAGTAGGTGCGCACCGTAATCAATGAGTTATCCCGAATTCACTAAGCTATCTCGGGCTCCCACCAAGAGTTCTAAACTAACAAATATTCGACTTATAGGACGAAGTCTGAAAAGTGCATAAAAACCAGAGTCGTCAGGTTTTGCTGCTCTTCCTGTATATCCAACTCGGACAGCAACTCATTCCAAGGTCACGCCATGGAGGAGGACATCGGGCGAAGAAACTCGCTCGTAATACTTTGGCATTTAAAAATTTTCAGTTTTACTTCGGAACACTGGCTTTGATCATTCGGTCGCTATTTGGGACGACAGGAAACTGTAACAATCAATTGGACCCCGCTACCACCCTGCCTTGAGCGGCGACTTCGCTCGCGTGGACAGCCAAAACTTGTAGCCTTGGGAGTGATAGATATCACGGAGGATCTGTGTTTTCTCTGATGAGCATCTGTCATGATGTTGCCATTTTTTGTCATTTTCATTTCATTTTACCCATGATTTTATTTATTTCAGCGAATTCGGGCGTAAATGAAATTCAGTCTTCAGTTTTACAACTACAGCACCTAACTGTTTTGAATAAACGATTTCTTCAATGTCCGAGGTACTCTTCTAATTTGCTTCTCCATTCATTAATCATAGTCGCCGACAGACTACTTGAAGCGCTTTCTTTCCGAGTAAGTCCCCATTTCTGTTGTCCCTTTAGTCACAAAACAACAAATTTCCTCGCTTCAGTGTCGATGGGATCATTGGCCTGTACGTTTCCGATAAAGACGGTGTTATCATGGCTAGTGGTAAATGGGCTTCGTTTTTGTAGCCTACCTCTGTCTGACTATAGTTTCATCAGAGGACATGCCAGATCAAGCAATACAGCCGTACGTAGCCACCACATTCCTCAGCTCAATCCAGCAATCAAGCAAGTTGGAAATGGGAGCGTTAGAATGGATGGTTACACGTTATGAGTACATGGTGGTGAGTATCAGTGATATATCTCTATCTGTTTTGATTTTGATAGTTTCTGCTTATCATCCACTTGGTGCTGTCTAACTAATCTTTATTTGTGTGCATAAAACCACACTTCCGACCAGGGGTCCATACGTCGTTGAGTAACTTGTTGAGGTTGTCTATTTTTTCTTAATCCAACACATTTTTAAGGGTCCTAAGGACTCTTCGACAGCCCACTACTGGTTTCCACAATTGCTATTTCTTAAATGGGCGCCAAACTGTACGTAAGTGGAGTAACCTACTCATTTGCAAACTTGGTTGAAGCTAACTGAATCCCACCTGAGTCTTGGTTGTAAGCCTCCCGAAGAATATCTTCACCATTATAGCATTGCCATAGGCTATTTTTCAACATAATTGTCTGGTACTATTCACGATCTTGGAACGTCCCAGCACCAGTTTCAAGCTTTTAAGCAGTTTTCTCCCACACCTTAGCCTTCTAGACAAGATCTCGTCGTTCAGCAGAGCAACTCCAATAGTTCATAGCTTTCAGCTACAGTGATCACTCGTGTGAGGTTAACACATAAGATGAGATATTTAATATCTGGGATGGGTTGCTTTTCACTCGGCGACCGTCGCCGACATGGAACGTTGTTGCGAACGCTTCACAGCAGTGTCTCCTCTTCAAATGGAGTCTCCTTTATGGTGTCCTTGTGGGGTGTCGACAACCAGTTATTATTGGCCGACTTAGTCCACAGACTCTGGCCCTGTTGGTAGAATCATCATATAGAAACGCCGGGTTAATTGACAGCCTACAGCCTTAAAAACTGCACTCCGTTTTCATATCACGGGAGCAGGAACACGACAAGCCCTCACTTTCATGACGTAACTGAGGGTCAATTTGTATCGCCTTCCTCTCGAAGCTTTGGTCCGTAGACACTTAACGAGGGGTCGTGAGTTTTGATTTGGGTTTCGATTTCAAAATTGCCTTTTCGAGGTGCTCAGGATTGCTGTTTCCACCATACAATACAACTTCCTGATAGCGATTACAATTGAGCAGGGAAATCCGAATATACGACGGAACTGGTTGGAATTAAGATGGAGTGACTCTTAAAAAAACCGCGAACAGCTTCTCTCTTGAGCATTACTCACATCCGTACTGTCTTGTTGGCCAGACGAGTTGTGAAGGGGCGTTGTATTAAATTGACAGCTTACTCTGTTACTTGCTGTTGACATGCAGTCGTCAAGGGTCCACCTAACCGGAGTGTGTCAGTGCCAAGTGGGAGACAACCTTTGTTGGTAATATCTCTGTGTCAGTATTGGATTGCTTCTCAGTGTCTTCTAACCACGCTATGGCTTCAACTAGCTGTTTCAATGCAACAACGGTCAAGAGTTCAGCCGATTATTTGAAGTTAGCTTGGGAATCCGACTTCTTGACTGGATTCATAGATGAACACGCCGACAGAGCCACTGCGGCGTGGCTCCTCCTTCATAAATCATGATGACATTTGTACTCAACGACTCAACGTTCTTCCCGTGCTGCCCTGAAGGCAGCGTTCGCTCTTGAGCAATAGTCAGGTACGTCACCCATATCTTGTCCCGAAGGATTTTGTGTTATTAGAGGCGTCTCTGCAATAGACTGGGCAAAGCGATGTACTGGATCATCTGTTAATCGAACTCGCACGATACGACATGTGTCCCATGTTATGTAAGTCTATTAGAGCACATGTCCACAATACGGGTACACCCCGTTTCACACTTCCAATAACCCAATGCCCAGGAGGAGGTGTCAACTGAATTGTGGCAAAGCTACTGTTTACCGAGCAGTAGTTCAGCGTTGCCTGCTTAGCTATGCAGCTGCGTGGAATGCGTACGCCACTCGTAGTACAATCCGTCATCTCCGGATTGCTGGACACTTGGAGTGACAGGTGAAATATGGGTACACTCTAGCTGATAGTACAAGATCAGGCTGAGAAATTGTCTCACAACGGAACAATGAGGTGGTCCTTAAGTATGCTTGTTCAAGCTAAAAACTAAATAATTTCCTCCGAATTTATGGTGCTCGCTCGAAATCTCGCGATTTTTCTTGATTATTTAGCACATTCTTCTAGATTTCAACCGGTTCATCTGTTTATAGAAAGTTAGGGCAGTGAGTTTCTCGTACCTTGATAAAAACAGTGGTCCAGTAGGAGATTGGCGTTTTTAAACATTTCAATAAGGTACTATTCGTTTGGTAGTAATTCAGCGCGGTTTGCTGTAAGGTTCAAAAATTGTGCGAATACTACTAGAGAGTCTTAGTAGTAAGATTTGCTGCCTTCAGGTGTTACGATCGGCCGGAGTGAACAACAGTCTAAAAGGCAATCTCGGAATTTCGATACTTTCAAATCGTCACCACTAATCAGTATCAGCTGTGTGATTTTACATGGCTAGTTTGTTTACCAGTGAATGGCAGGATTGAGGGCTTCAATCACCTTATAGTTGATAACTTCTGCAAATCCAATGCTGATTACGTTGGCTGCCGATGCATTCCTAAAACACGACTATTCCGCTCGTTTGTCATGGTTGTCGTTATATCTGCTGATTCACCGGCCTGTGGTATCTGCTTCTGACCCGCTCCAGTGCCTAGTGTCGGAGAGAAAAAGACTAGCGGAAGGGAACACTATAGCTGTATTCCAAAAAAGTGGTTGCGAGAGCGCGAGTACGTGCGAGTGCGGAAAATACAACGGCCTCAAGCTTTTTATTGGAAGGACACTGTCTGAACTTGGTCCAATGCTGACGCACATGGTCTGGCTGCGACGTGCTGCATATCGCGGGGGCGTTGT